TATTGGTTATCCACTAAAGTCAAAAGGGTACAGATTTTATTGTCCTAACCATACTACGAGGATAGTTGAAACTGGAAACGCCAAATTCTTAGAGAATGGTGAAGTTAGTGGGAGTCTTGAATCAAGAAAGGTAGAACTTGAGGAAATTAGGGTGGATATTTTACCATCTTATTTCCCTCAAGATAACGTTACTCTTCAACCTATACAGCAGGTTGATGAAACAAATGATTCGCCACTCCATTCACCACTTCATGAAGATGTTATTATTGGGAATACTGTAGAACCACCACAGCCGGTAGCTTTGAGGAAATCTCAAAGGGAAAGGAAGTCTGCCATATCCGATGATTATGTGGTGTATCTACAAGAATCTGATTTTGATATTGGTATTCAAAATGATCCAGTTTCATATTCACAAGCCATGAAAAGTAAAGATTCTAATAAATGGATTGATGCTATGAATGAAGAGTTGAAATCAATGGACTATAACGGTGTCTGGGAACTTGTCGAATTGCCTAAGAACAGTAAGAAAGTCGGTTGTAGATGGGTCTTTAAGACCAAACGTGACTCTAAGGGCAATATCGAAAGATTTAAAGCCAGATTAGTGGCCAAAGGTTTCACTCAAAAAGAAGGCATTGATTATAGAGAAACTTTCTCTCCAGTATCTAAGAAAGACTCTCTTAGAATCGTTATGGCTCTTGTAGCTAATTATGATTTGGAGTTACACCAAATGGACGTGAAAACCGCTTTTCTGAATGGGGATTTAGATGAAGATATCTATATGGACCAGCCTGAAGGATTTGCAAAACAAGGAAATGAACACTTGGCTTGTAAATTAAAGAAATCCATATATGGACTTAAACAAGCTTCTAGACAATGGTATATAAAATTCAATGATACCATTACTTCCTTTGGATTTAAGGAAAACACTGTTGATCAGTGTATATATCTAAAGGTCAGTGGGAGCAAGTTTATCTTTTTAGTCTTGTATGTGGATGATATTTTACTAGCAAGTAGTGATCTTGGTTTGCTTCACGAAACTAAGAATTATCTTTCCAAGAATTTTAAGATGGTTGATATGGGTGAGGCAAATTATGTTATTGGGATAGAGATCTTTAGAGATCGATCTCGAGGATTGTTAGGCTTGTCTCAGAAAGAATATATCAATCGAGTTCTTGAAAGATTTAATATGCAGTTTTGTTCAGCCATTAATGCTCCTATCACGAAAGGTGATAAATTAAGTGAAAAGCAATGTCCAAAGAATGATTTGGAAAAGGAGAAAATGAAATTGATTCCATATGCATCAGCAGTTGGAAGTTTGATGTATGCACAGACGTGTACTAGACCAGATATTAGTTATGCAGTGGGAGTACTTGGTAGATATCAAAGTAATCCGGGAATAGATCATTGGAAAGCAGCAAAGAAGGTTATGAGGTATCTTCAAGGAACAAAGGATTACATGCTTACTTATAGGAGATCGGACCAACTAGAGGTTATTGGTTATTCAGACTCCGATTTTGCTGGTTGTGTAGATAGTAGAAAGTCCACATCGGGCTTTGTATTTCTACTAGCTGGTGGAGCAATCTCTTGGAAGAGCGTAAAGCAAAGTATTATTGCTTCTTCCACAATGGAGGCTGAGTTTGTAGCATGTTTTGAGGCCTCGAGTCATGCACTGTGGTTGCGAAATTTTATCTTAGGGCTTAAGGCTGTTGACTCAATTGCTAAGCCTTTGAAGATATATTGTGATAACACCGCAGCCGTTTTCTTCTCTAAGAATGGAAAGTATTCAAGTGGATCCAAGCACATGGATCTTAAGTACTTGGTTGTTAAAGAAAGAGTCCAGAAACAACAAGTGTCAATAGAAAATTTAAGTACAACTCTTATGGTTGCTGATCCATTAACCAAGGGATTGCCTATAAAGACATATGAGGAACATGTTATTAGAATGGGTCTTTTGAGCAATCCATGATTTAATGAGTTATGATTATGTAATTGACACTTAATTTATTTAATGAAATGTTTCTGTTTTCCTGTTTCCAATTATGTGTGCACATATTATATTTGGATTTAACAGGGTTTGTCCTAACAAGACAAAATTAAAGGGGCTATTATGGATTAGAATAGTAAGGGTTATTAGTGGCGTGATACATAGAAGGGAATATGATGAATGAATCATATAACCGCTATGATTCACATTAATAACTCAAACTAGTTCTAGTATTAAAGTACTCTATTTACCTATTATGGTAATCACCTTAATTTTCTTTTAAAATCGTGATCACGTGTCAAATGTTTTGTATGAAGAACCCACCGAGTCAAATATTTTTTAAACTTATTTTTCTTAATCGATTCAGTGGACCAAGTGGGAGAATGTTAGTTTACGTTTTAAAACGTTTTTAATTTTGGTCCACTAATCTTTATTTTAATTAATTAAATTGTGGGTAATTCAAATCATGGTATTAAGGTGATTTTATGGTAATTGATTTGTAACGTTGAAGGCAGTAAAAGACCATGATGGGTGGGATTTGTCTTCTGCCGTTACAAATCAATCGTGGCCCTCTTCTCTCGTCTATAAAAGAAATCCACAGCTCTTCTCCTCAACCATCAGACACAATTGAGAATTCCATCACTTACAGAAATATTCGTGAGTTGTGATATTAGAGAGATAGAGAGAAGAAGGTGTGCTACGAATAAAGTTCTCAAGGAGATTCGAAGGAGGCCTGGCTAGGCTCGGCTTGTAGATTGCTATCGTTCATCATCTCTATCGGAATCCATGGCGAACGGTATGTCGATAATCTCTATTACGTGATTATATTCTTAAGATGAATTTGATTTCAAGATTCTGTGATTAAGGTTTTTCCGCATAAAATAAATAAAAGTTTTTCAGTATGCTCTCATGGCAAGACCACAAATCCCGCGACCGTATCTGCCCTTTGAACGACGGATCATCCGAATATAGCCTCGTTTTCCCCAATTGCGGCCCCAACTATTCTTCACCAGCCAATAGTCGGTACCACTCACGGTTGTTCCGTACCCAATTATAGTAACAATATGATCTGGTGTTGTTCCGCAGGGCCCATCGAACACCCCCTAACAATTAAATTAAATTAAATTAAAAAAATATATTATTTAATTTATCGATGAATACACGAAACTTACTTTTGAGTAATGGCAGAAGCCCATGCTCCTTGCATCGATCTCTACGGTCACCGGTTGCCTAGCGACTCTTTTCATTAGCAAATCTTCACGATAGGGAGGAACTTGGCTGTAGCGTTTTATCCGCACCGTGGGGTTATTTTTATGCAATATATAGAAATTCAAGAATAAGTTAATTATAAAAACATTAAGTACTACGTACAATATTGAATCACTAAAAATATATATATAAGTATACCTTTTCGATTTGACAAAAGTTTCCGTATTTGTCTTCGTACAAGTAATTATTATCGGTTGTGATCCCATTTTCCATGATATACTGAAACGCTGCGGTTGCATATATCCTCCATCGCAATGTTTATTTCCCGTATCACAATCCACCAATTAATGGGTGGACAATGGGATCAATCTTTTATTCCGAATGTAATTTATGCCTTCGACAGCCGCAATCGACGCAAACGCCCAACAACTACATGTAGAAATCACAATGCAGAAGATGAGAGGATAGAGATTTAGAGCATATGGAGAGGAAAATGAGAGAGAAGGAGAACAACTAAAAACCATTTTTTACGAAGAATCCGGATTGCTAGCTGTCATAGCTTTAATGATCATAATTTTGTGTTTTCGATTTTTCATTTATATATTTATAACAATTTATTTTAATTCTTCAACAAATTAACCTTGTTAAAAATTTATTTTACATGAATATAAGGGCGAAACATGCATGGTGCATTGTCAAACTATCAACACCTTTCAAGAAAATGCAAAGATATATAACCTACGCATGTAATAGATATAGTTGCGACGAAATTAAATCTGGAGGGCCGTGTTTTCAACCAAATACGTTGCAGAATCATGCATCTTATGCGCTCGATTTTTTCTACCAGACCACTTGCTTTGTGTGACAAAATCGGCATTGAAACGTTTAAAGACCTTTGTAAGATCTGTCTTCCCATTGAAATATCTAATTAATCAACTAATTTAATTTTTATATTTCTCTACAAAGATTAGAAGCTCTTGATTGAATTCAGATGGTTTTGACCCTTTTCTATTTTGATTTTGGCAAACTTCATAACACGGAAACTGTAGTCCATTGAGATAGCGTTCTAATCTAATTTGAATCAGCTAGATTGAATATGTAAAGGCAAAGTTATGCATAAACAAGTTACATATTAAATTTTATACAACTGATCAAAACATCAAAGTTGTGGCAGTGTACATTGATTCATGCATATATTTCTCACCCGATATTCGATCTCGGAGATACAATTTGGATTGGAAAGCTAACTCAAAGAATTACAAATTCTATTTTTTCAGTTTACCAAATTCATAATAAAAAATGATCAAAATTACGTTTGATGAAACGGTATATAAAATTGGACGACATTTATCACCCCTCTTATAAAACTATATAAAGTGTAACGATAATGAGCATGACGGAGCTTTTTGCAACCATCAATTCAATAAAAAAAAAATTAAAAAAAAAAATTAATACTTACCAAGACGCTTATCAACAAAGAAAGCGGAAAACCATTCCATTGAGATAACAAAGAAAAAGTAACAATAATTCAAAAAATTAGTAGAGAAAAAACAAATTATCTGTCAAGATTTGAGATATATGGATAAAAAATAGGAGATTGAAATTGGAAGAATTCCATACGATTTGGTTTCAATTTTGCTAATAATTAAAAAATATGGTTAGAAAGTTAGTAGAAAAAAAAATATAGACAAATAAAGAAATGCCTTTAAGATTTTTAGCATTTTTTTCTTTTATATATAAAGATAACTCACGAGCTTCTTAATTTTTCAGTTTCCTTATTACCATCACCAATCTCAAATCAAATTCTTAAAACAATAAAACATTTCACAATCAAGATTATAATTCAAATGCTAGAAAAGATTTAATAGACATAAATAATTAAAATTTTGATCATATTGGGTAATGTGGATTCAATATTTTCCCACGTGAATATGAAATGATCACATAAATGGGGTTAACTTTATTACACGAGAGCTAACCAACAATACATAACATTGTATTGAAGATACAAATTGAAAAATAAACCTAGTCTTGAGAAATTCTCACAATCTTTTTTCCGACGTTATTGCCACGGAAAAGATCGACAAAGGCAGTCGGAATGCTATCTAGACCGTCCGAGATATCTTCGACGGCCTTCAATTCGCCCGTCTGAAGATATATTATAGTTGTGGAAATGTATTCTTGGTATATATCCATAAAGTCGACAGACAGAAAACCCTCTATTTTAATTCTTTTGTAGACCACCGCTACCATGTCGGGTTTGGCTCTTTTACTATCGTCCGTATATTCGGATATAACTCCACAAAGGGATACTCTACCGAAAACGTTCATGTTATTGATTGCCGCTTCGAGCATTTCGCCTCCCACGTTGTCAAAGTATATGTCGATCCCCTCCGGGAAGTACCTATTGTAATAATTAGGCATATGTCGATTATAATTTATGAGTTTGCGTGTAGTTAATTCGACCAATAATATAAGGTTTTATCGGTTAGTACGTACCTTTTAAGAGCTGAGTTCAAATCAGTTTCTTGTTTGTAGTTGAATGCATCATCAAACCCGAGTTCATCTTTTAGTAAGTCCACCTACAAAACATTATATTCGACCAAGAAAAGCTTTATTTCATCTTTTACGTACAATACCTAGTAGTAGACATGGCCCCGGGCCCACCGGTCCGGTTCCGGTTCTAACCGGAACCGGACCGGGTGAACATTTAAATAATCGGACATTTACCATTTTTATTGTTATGAACAAAATAAATTGTACAAGAAATTAAGGAAAATGAGGAGGGGGGCGGGGGGGGGGGGGGGGAATCAATTTTTTAGTAACAAAATAACTGAAATAGGCTAAATATTAGTTTAATAATTACAAATTTATCCTTGAAAATAGTGGGAAAGAGAGAAAGAAAAAAAAAAACAAGAAAACCCACTTTACAAAATCAAAACTGGAACCGGGGGTGTGAGAACCGTCTACGAACAGTAAATAGCGGTCCGGTTTCAGTTAATTCATATTATGGAACCAGAACCGCCAGTTTGAACCAAAATCGGACCGACCGTTGGTCATGTCTAGCTAGTAGTATATATATGATTATATTAGTTAATTAAAATAAAACAACGACGTCAAAAATGCACCTTTTGTTTAGTTCCTGCGCATCCAACGACGTAACAACCAAACAACTTGGCGTATTGTCCGACTAAACTCCCGACCGAACCGGAAGCAGCAAAAACGAACACTTTATCTCCCTTTTTAGGCTTGCACACTTTGAAAAACCCTCCATATGCTGTAAGCCCGCTGCTTCCTACAATATTTATTGATATATTTAAGAATAAAACCATAATTTACTCAAAACAAGTTTGAGTATGTAAGTTTTTATTTTATTGCAAATTAATAAATTTTCCATCAGTATAGAATTCAGGGCAAATTACGGCCACCCATGATTTATGGTTAAATTATGAAAAACCACCTCATGTGTGGGTAATTACAGTCACCCCATCAACTATGTATTATCTTACGAAAATACCCCTCCAGAGGTAAATTTAGGGATGTTAATTCGGTAAAATCGAATCGAAATTTTCGGTACGCCGACATTTCATACTGTTTACCGAACGAAATATACAATTTGATTCGGAAAATAACCGAATTACATAAATTTTATGTAAAAATATTTAAAGAAGAGGGTGACAATAATTATCCAAACAAGAGGGGTTTTCATATTTTGGTCATACTTTAGGGTGTGGCCGTAATTTTCCCTATAATTTACGAAGGTGGCTGATCGAATTTGGAAACGTTGTGACCTCCTACAACATCTTATAAGACACTTGCTAATTAATAAAAAGAAAAAGTAAATATTAATTTTAAATAAATCTTTAAAGTATTAACGAAATAAGAACCAGTGATCGTGAATTCGAATCTCACTATCACCCATTGGTCGAAACACGGGCGGGGATTTGTAAATTTTGAATATTGGTTAAGTTAATAGTAATAATCTCACAAAGAAAGAAAAAAAAAAAAAAAAAAGCACTCTTCTCCCTATAAATTTTCCATTTTCGCACATTCCCCCCTAAAAAATAAAATAATGGAATAACCCCCATCAAAATATTATTTTTGTTGAACTTTGCCCCAAAAGCTAATTTTCGTTGAGCATTGTGCAACAAAAACAACATTTTTAACAGGGACAATTTGCAGAAAAATAATGTTTTTTGGGGGGCCAAGGTACAACAAAAATAACATTTAAAAGGGGCAACGTGCAACATATTCACTCAACTTCAGTGAACAATCCATCGAAACAATGTGCAATAAGAATAACATTCTGAAGGGCGAAATTCGCATTTCCAAATTTTGAGAGGGTAAAGTGCAAAACATTAGAAATTTATAGAGGGGGACGTGCAATTTGCCCTTAAAAAATGACAAAATTATAAATGAATTTATATGATGATTAAAGTATAATTAATAATAATACCTAGAACTCCTCCAGCAAAATAAGAGAGTGGAAATGAGAGATTTGTATCCAATTTCTGCAACCACTGTAAAGAAATGCCTTTGACAAGGGTATATTCCCCCCATATTAGGGCTCCCGAAACAAGATCCCCTTCTTTAAATTCTGGATGTGTAGAACCCACCACTCTCCCAACCCCACTTGCATTAATTGCCTGTAACAATTTTTATCTTAATATAATGGGTAAATTACACTCACACCCCTGAGGTATGCTTAAATAATTTTAAGGTCCCTATGGTATCGATAATTACACTCACCCCCCTGAAACGTAGTTAGAAACTCTAACGAGATAATGCATTGGATACGTTATTCCGATAGGGTTCTAATGGACTATTAATTTTAGCTAGTGGTGGAGATAACATAGAGTTATGGGGAGTTATGATGTGACATGGCTCCCCCAATATTTCTTAAATCATCCATAACTCTTTGTTGTCTCCACCACTTCCTGAAACCAATAGTCCGTTAGAACTCTATCGTGATAACGTATCCAATGCATTATCCCATTAGAGTTTATAACTACGTTTCAAGGGGGTGACAGTAATTATCGATACCACATGGACCTTAAAGTTATTTAAGCATACCTCAGGGGTGTGGGTGTAATTTACCCTAATATAATTACTAATATTTGCACATTTATTTCAATTAGGGTGTAACTCAAAATAATTTGTACAAAATGATACAATATAACCTCGATAAATTAATAACCTTCCTTGAATAATAATTTTTTCTGGCCTCGACTCGGTAATAACATAGTAAATTATTAGTTCGATAATTTAACATTTCGCTAAATTAATAGAATTTGTTAATCCCGAGTGTATTAAAATAAAATCAAACCCAAGCCAAACTTATTTTTAAAATAAAATATTTTATCTTAACAAACTTGTTTAAATTTGAAAATTATTTACAGAATTAGAAAACATATTTATCAAAGAAAAAAAAAAAACAGTGAAACAAATTAAACATTAAGAATTGCTTATATATTATAAGAATGATAACCTGTCCAGGAAGAAGAGCAGCTGCTGCAGAAACAGTTCCCTGCGAACAACTGTAACTCTTCATTCGGTTTATCTGGTACGGATCGATCGACACGTACATATTTTTCACAACGACAACGATGTCGGAACCCTCACCAGCCGGCTGTCGTAGTACTTTCAAGGAAACAACTTGTTCGCAAATCGCGAAGTTTGATTCGTTCGGGGCTCCATCGATATTGCTCGTTGTTACAACATACTTATTCGTTACGGTTTCCATTGAAATTTTTGTGTTGTCTGAGCTTCTTTAATTTGTGGGGAGAAGATGAGATGAATTAAAGGACTCAAGATTTGATTAATAATGGGATGTAAATAATATTTAATTCCATAATTTATAGCCAACTTGTAATAAATTAATATCACTAATAACATATTGAAGGATTCATGCATGTGAGATGTGGTGAGTAGCTAGATGGAGCAGATAATTTGAAAGAAAACAATATTTTAAAGATTCAATATATATATGATTGTCTAGGTTATTATATGGGTTTTTTGCAAAAACTAACCTTGTGTAAACTCTAATTGTCTTAAAAGTCCCTGTGTTAAAATAATTAGCAAATACCCCCCTATAAAAGATAGTCAAAGCCAAAAACCCCCCTGAAAGCTTTTCGTGTGCTGCACGCGTGGGTTGAGCGATTGGCGGTGTGTTTTTTGACCTGAAAATACATAAATACCCTTTTAATCATTTTTTCAAAAATTACATATTCATCCAGAAATTTGTATGAACCAAAATGAAATTTTCATAATTTTCGATTCAGTCCCTGACAATTTCAAAAACACCATCTCTCCAAATCAGCTCATCCCCAATTGTTTCGAATCCACCACCATGTTCACGCACTAATTGGAGGAGGAGAAGCCGGAGCCCAATTTCTGGAGGGAGCTGCTGAGACCTTTTGGTACAGGTAGAAGCTCGACTACTCCATCTCCGTCGATTACACCAGCCCTTCTCCATTCTTCAAGCCACCCACAAACCCCACGATTCCATAAACAAAATACAACACCTTCCCCAGATATAACTTAATTCGATTAGAACAACATAATTTTATTGTTTTGGGAGTTCACAATCCATTTCCATGTTTTAGGTTGACATTCGATTTGAATACAAAAATAAAACAAAATAAATGAACTATCTTTAATTAGTTGATTGGTTCTTGTTTCAACGAACGGAGGGAAGGTGAGGTGATGGGATTTTGATGGTGGTTTGATGATGACGGAAAGCCGGTGGCGAAAGGCGGTCGGCGGCGATGTTGGACGATGCTTTCAACCTTTATTTTGAGTCTAGTCACCAACTGATAGCTTAAATTCACTTTGTGGACTTTCTTGAGAGAATAGAGAAAGAGATGTTTCATGATTTTGGAAGCTTGAAAACTCACAGTTAATGGAGCAGCCAAATCACAGAAGATGGTTTGTTGAAGGTTTGTTGCTTGCTTTTCATCAGTCATCACATTTCATAATTTTTTAATTTTTTTTTTCTTTTTCTCTCTTCCCCTTTCCCTTTGGTAAGGGTATTTTTGTCATTTTCTTTAAGTCAACTGTAAAATCTGAATTAAGGGGTTGTGTGATATATTTAACACAACATAGGGGGTTTCTTGGTAATTGTTTTATCATAGGGACTTTTCTGCCAATTAGAAATAACACAGGGGATGTGTGCTATTAGCTCTTATATTCAGACACCATTTATGCGTTGTATTGAATTGTCCAAAGCATCTTTTGTTATTTTAAGCAGTAACCATGCCCCTGTGCGTTGCACGAGTCATTTGATTATTGTAATTATATTTTTAACTTTAAAACAAGCGAGTAGAAATATATATACTAACTGGACTTGAATTTAGTCAATTCTCCGTTCCCTCGCTCCTTGTTAAGTGTATATTTTTACACTTAATTGTACCTTTTAATTGGAGCTTTTGGTGTGTTTTAACCAATGTTATTAGAACCGGACCGGACCGGCCGGTCCGACCGGTTCGACCGCGACCCGCCGGAAAACCGGTCCGGTCTAACCCCCAAACCCACATAAATTCAAAAACGGGGTCAACTACCAGAAACCTGGTCTGACCGGGTGGAACCCGGGACCCGGCGAACCGGCCGCTGACCCGGGTTCGATTCCTAAACGTTGCGTTTTATATATTTTTTTTAATACTTTATCAAAACGACGTCGTTTTGATTATTAGGTTTAAAAAAAAAAATTTAATACTTTATCAAAACGACGTTGTTTTGATTATTAGGTTTAAAAAAAAAATTGAATTAAAAAACACGTTAAACGTCAACACTCAACAGACTTGTTTGACAAGTCTGTACATCTTCTGCCTTCACTATTCCCGCACCCAGCCACCGCCTCCCAATCCGCCAGCCACCGCCGCAAACCACTAGCCACCGCCGGCCGCCGCCAGCCACCGCCGCCCCCGCAACCTGCCGGTACCCTCTTTCGTGTGGATGAATCGTGCAATTTTTAAATTCTTTTGTTTAATCATGTGATAATAATTTTGTTTAGATTTCAATTCTTCAAAAAATTTTTGTTTAGATGTGAATTTAAAATTTCTATTTACACTTGTAGTTTTTTCACCATTTAATATCGTATATATCAAATTATGTTATTTTCTAATACCATATCTATTGTACAAGAAATAATTTTAATGCAAAAGACATTAACTATTTATATGTTTTAGTTTTATATTTTAAATTTTAATTATGTGATGAGGATGATTTTGATGAGATACATTATTATTATGGATATTTTTTTGGATTGAAGTGAAGTTTTTCATATGTTGTTTAATGTTTTAAATTTTTATTTGGATGTAATTATGTGTATATAAAATTAAAAAATAAATAGAATATATAAAAAAATAAAAAACCCGGGTTGACTCCGGTTGAACCGGTCCAACCATGACCCGAATGCCTCACGGGTTTAATGTCCGGTCCGGTTCTGATAACATTGGTTTTAACGATAATTGGTGCTTCAAATGGTTATTATTTGTATTTTAGGTACAAATCGAAGAATTTACTTTTGGCCCACTTTTTTCTACTATTATGCAAGTTTAAATTCTTCGATTATTTCTTCTATTTTGATCTTATTTGGCGCATGAACGTAGCTAATTTATGTTGCTATGTGTTATTGTTAGGATTGAATCGACAGATCGTTTTAATAATTAGAACATGGATAGAAGAGCCTTCGAGTAGTTTTCACCGGATGAGTGTGTTAATTGCATGTATTATCGTAGACATACAGATAATACCTTAGGTAGCCGTTTACGAGACTTGTTATTTAATGTTTTATTCGTACTAGGTTTGCATAGACATATAGTGAATCGTTTATGAATAATAGACTTATAATACACGCGACAGCGGGTTATGAGTAAAAAGTCCTCTTCTCCTCTTCTTTCTAAATACCTAACACTCCTCTTCCTCTAAGATTGTATAAAAAGTCCTTTGATTCGTGCTTGGTATTTGCCCTTTTATAGATGTCTCTACTTGGTAGAAGATTTAGGCTTCCTTGTGTGATTAAAAGTCCAAAATTACTTCCAGCGTGTTTTCACACGGCCGCGTGATAATCAATGCAATTCTCACACGGCCGCGCGAGAATCGCCGAAACTTTCTGCCCAAATTTTGCAGTTGGCACGGCTGCGCAAAAAATAGGCTAAATCTGGCACGGCCGCGCCAGACCAATTTTCAGCATCCGATTATTTTCTTCCATTTTTGCCCGTTTTTGACTTTTTTGGCTCGTTTTCATCTATGGAACTCCCAAATCATCAAGTTGTACCTAAATTATAATAAACCACTCCTTAAGCACCATTAAATCAATAAAAATATACAAAAATCCTCGTAACAATGTATACATTGAGTGTAAAATATATACACTCAACACACCCCCAAACTTGAACTTTTGCTTGTCCTCAAGCAAAAACTAGCAACTTTCAAAGCAACACTGTCAACAAATGCCCCTCATCACATAGATTAATGGTCAATCTTCACGTTTTCAGAACTAGCAATTATCATGACAATTCTAAAAAATTTATAAGCTCGTAATTCAAAGATACGTATTCACTCACCCTTGCCAAAAACCACAAACCATGCTATCGCTTCAAGTATCTCATATCTGTAAATTAAAAATGGAGAAAATTTATACTTACATAATAATATTCAACTCCAAAGACTCACCAAATTTCTTTACTCGGCTAGTAACAAATACTTGAGCTATTGGGATCATTGGGACGTTTTGGATTTCAAATGTTGGGCTTTGGTACAAGGTAGAAAGTATGGGTAAATGTGGCTACTCTTCTCCTTTCATCTCACAATTGGTTACTAAGAGTTGCACTTGACGGAATTTTTAGCTCTCGTTCTTGACTCGAGGTTTTTTCGCTAAGATTTAGCTTTTGGAATTATTGCTTCACCTCGAAGGACTTATTACTTAACTCAATTTGTTAAGAGTTCAAAAGTCTTCACTTTTGCTCTTAACATGATGGTTCGAGTTGTTACTTTAAAATCTTTCTCAAGTCCTTTCTTCCCCTTCTATGTTTCTTCTTCTTCTTCTTTTTTATTTTTTTTCTCTCTTTTTTTTTTAATTTTTTTTTCAACCAAGCTCCAAGGGATAATTATCAAGAAATCACCATCTAATCTACCCACTTTATTCTATTTTACTTATAAAAGTGGGAATATTAAGGGAGGTTTCTTCCCTTTTTTGTGATGACCAAAATGTCCCTATCAAAATTAAAATAATTAATATTAATTTATAATTAGTCATTTAATGTATGTTTATGAAAATAATTGATATTTTTAGAGTTCAATGTATAAAGGCATCTGAAAAGATGAACTCATGTATCTATTAACTGTTAGTCATATAAGAAATTCAAAGAAACTCAATGGTCTCGATAAGTCAATATGAATTTCAATTTTGCATAAGTTAAACCAAAGAAAGAAATAAATAATCGTAACTTCGAGTTTCAAGTTCTCATTCATCTTTTTTTGGTCTTCTCGATTTCTTTTTCGTCTTCTTCTTCTTCTTCTTCTTTTTTTTTTTTTTTTTGGTTTTAGTTATATGTTTAATAGTTTGAACCCTAAATATTGAGAAATTGATAAAATTTTCTAGATTAATGAAGGAATAAATCCTCCATATCAAGATCGGATTGAACCTCTGTTAATAAAGTTTGTAAGTTATTTTGCATATTTTTCGCACTTCTATGTACTAAGTTAAATTTTTTTATTCATTTGAATTAATTAACCTAATGAAACATGCATGAGTTATATGCATGGGGATTATTGATTCACATGGGGATTATTGATTTAAAATTATTTCTACTCAGGTAATTCAAAACACGTGTCAGTTTCATAATTAATGGTCTATGCATTGGGATTATTGATTTAACTTTTATCTACTAAATTTACTTGCAATTACATTTTATTTTTCCGTTCAATTCTGTATTTATGTATTGGCAGGTAAGATTCATTGTAATATAGTTTGTGACTAAGAATGTTATACGTGAAGTTTGTAAGTACTTTCTATTTCAATTGGCTTCTTCTTGTCATCTCAAATTCACGTATGTACATTATCAGGGACTCATAACAAAAGAAAGAAAATGTTATGATAATGCAGCTGCTTTATTTGCTTAATCCAAAGGTCATGTTGCATGACTTTGGGTTTAGCCAGTGATCCAATCTCATCAAAGTTGTTAGTCTTTCTTCAACAAGACAAAGCTATACATTTTCTAGAAACCATAATTTAATTTTTGATTTACGTGGCTCTTGGTATTCCACATCCCGTT